ACCACTGAATAGAGCAGATCAAAAATACACATCAAATCCACCATATTATGCTTCATTTTTGTCTATTAACACAAAACAGAGGACCATCATTTCTAGATCTGACAAAAAAAACATTTGGAGGCCATCATACCTTACAGATCGGAGAAGCAGGCTAGAGTTCGCAGAGCTAGTCTGAAGGTTTAATTTTACACTCCACAGGTTGCAAATCCTAGTGTCTTGAGTTCTCTTAGCTTCACAATGTCATCTGAGTCCCAAAACGAGCTTGATTCATGAATGATTGAAGGTGGAAATGAAGAAATGAGGCAGGGTAATGGCGGAGACTGATAACAAAGGAAGAGACGAGGAGCTCGAGTAAGGGAAGAGATGAGGAGTTCGGGATTTGTGACTAGATGGCAGAGGAGAGACAGAGGAGAGAAGGATGAGCGACGGACGAGTGATGGATGATGAGTGAGAAGCAGCAAAATGAGAGAGAGGCCAGCGTTGGTTGCACATGAAGAAGGAGAAATATGAGGGTATCATGGTCTTTTATAATATTAGGTACCAATCATTAAATGCTCACATTCCTTATTTGTGTTTCAAAAAAAGGAGCTTTATATTTTTTTTTTCAGTTTCAAACCCATTTAAAAATCCTTTTGTAAAGCACATTCCATCTAAAAAATACACCCCAAACAATATTTTACATCCCAAAAGTTAAAAATCACATTTGGGATGTGAAACGCGAGCCACCCAAATGCACCCTTCAATAATTCAAAGTCCCTAATTGTAATTAATAACCTTATTGGATTCTTAATCGTCATTTTCCCTAAGAAATATCATGCATGCATGATGCATATGGGCTTGTTCACCAAGCTTCATGTCACCCTGTTGTATGATCTATGTGAAGGTCTAATGGGCACAGTCTTAGACACATATCCATATAAAATACATAATTATGTTCTGTTTTAATCAATGACCTTTTGCTAGGCTTGATTGTGATAATATTATTATTAATATGATTACGCTCCCCCCGGCCCAATCAGTTTAGTTAAATGAGGCTCATGATTAATGGCATTTTTATCCGTTTGGTTTATCTAAATCATAAGTAATTTTTTTCATTTTTTTTCTTTTTGAAAAATAATTTTTAAAATTTAATTTAAAATAAAAATGAGAATTAATAATGTTTATTCATGCTTTTTTTAAGGAATGAGGTGGAAATCTCTAAGTCAGATTTCAAATCTTAAAGTAAACTGCATTCTAGATAAGACAAGACGATTGCATGAGATATAGAATGAATCTTTATAAAGCTTAATCCAACTAAATTTATTTAAAAAGATAATCTAAATATCTTGATAGTAATAACTGATATATGTGGCATATTTTGCGTCGATCTTTCACCAGCTCACGATATTATTCTAATTATATAATATAAAAAAATTGAATGGCAATATATATACACATGATAAGGAAGGCTCTTCAAGCTTTATCATCACCCATCCGACTCCCAAGTCTATATATGTGTGTGTATATATATATGTATATGTATGGAAATAGAATATATAATTTATTTTTTTATTAAAATATTTTTATTATTGATTGATATTAAGTTATTATCTCTCTAGTCTTCGTTATTAAAAAGAGAATGATTTATATTAAAGGATCAAGCAAAAGTTCCGTACTAAAAGAGGTGAACTAAAAATAAAAAGTAAAAGAATAACGAAACTTTTAATCCCTCAAATTTATCTCAATTATCAATCTAGTTCCTTAATTTTATTTCTATCAATTTAGTCCTTTAAGTTTATTTTAATTATCAATTTGATTCTTATTGTTTACAAAAGAGGTTACATTGTTAAAATTTATTGACTTGAATAATAAAATATTGATGGCAATCATGCATGTTAATGAAAATGAGTATAATTATTTAGGTAGAAAAAAAGCATACTCTAAAATTTTAAAAAGAATAAGATAACAAAACAACTTATGAGGAATTATATTGATAAAAAAAAACTCACCTGAGTGTTTATTTTGTTCTCGTTTAGCTATATCTACACACCAAATCATTAATATACTTTACTACACATTAGATTTTTTTTTTATAATCAATTTGTATTTTAAAACTCAAAAGACTTGCATGATAATTTAAGAAAACGTGAGGGATCAAATTGATAAAAATTAAATTTAAAAGATAAATTTATAATTAAAATAAATTTGAGAGACTAAAAGTTTTATCATCCAAAAGTAAATTAAAAAGAAACACTTTAACGAAACGCCAAATGTCAACCATGGTCTAAAAAAATTTCGAAGTTGACCGGAAAAAGTTATCGAGCTGGAAGCCAAGATCTTATTATTGCTCATACGGTTGAAAGTAAGCAATAAAAGCCTCTACGTGTATCTGTATGTGTAGCAAGTAATCAAAGAGGTTCTAAAGATAAATATATGAAGATGAATGTTGAGTAGCAAGAAGACATTATTTATATATTTTTTTAAAGAAAGTGGCAATTGCTTTCAAACAATATAGCTTCTTCAAATTAAACTAGTGGTTTCAAAGAAGTAATAGTCTGGGGAGATTTTATATGCCTGGGCTCTATTATTATTGAGTGGGTGCATGGAAACATCAGTCACTATCCTTGACGTAAAATCTGATCGGCTTGAAGAATCTAATCAATCTCTACTACTTTTTGAAATGCTTTATTTTCTCAATTTTCTCTTTTTATTAATAAATTTTATATAAAGTAAAAAACATTTTGATATATAATAATCATGAAATGGTGGTATACTTTTGTATTTTTTATGATTTTTTTAAAATATCTTAAAATCGTAATACCTTTAAAAAAGTACAAAAAATGCATTATTTCATGATTGCACGATATCAAAATATTTATCATTTATATAAAGCTAATAATAAAAAAGAAAACTAAAATTGAGAAGGCGAAGCATAATTAACAAGGAATATTTATACATTAGAAACTCCAAGCCCGTGTTTATGGGCACTGGTGTATTTTGGATGCACTATTTTTTCTTTTTGTGTGTTTTTAATGAACACGTGTTGGCCATTGTCAAGGAACACTTTTTGAACTAGTTTGATATTAATGAATACTGTTGCTTCTTTGAGCATTGTATATTTAAATATATATATATATATATATATTTAAGGAAAACATAACTACTAATCTTGTATAGTTTTAACATGTTTTGGTATAGGTTCTTATATTTTTTTTTTTTTAGTTGCTCTAGTTCGCTCTAGTCTAGCCCATTTGCAATATTAATCCATTTATTTTTTGAATATGTCCAAAAAGAACACTAATAGTATTAAATATATTGACTTATGACTTATGACTAATACTATATTAAGCTGTACTGAATGATGAAGTTATGATTTAGCATATTAACAGCATCATTACCCTGTTTTTCTTTTCATGGTTCAAATTTCATTAGGTTAAAGTATAATTCTATCTCAGTGCAAAGATTAATAACCTCAGTCACATGTTAGCATATTTAACATTATTAATGTTACCTCTTATTCTTTTAGACATACTAAAAAAATAGAGAGACTAATATTGTACATGGGTTAAACTAGATGGATACGAAACAATGAAAAAACTACAAGGACTTATGTCAAAACACATTAAAACAATAGGATCAATAGTTGTGTTTTCTTTTATATATATATATATATATAACCTTATAACCAGTATCATTGAATATTACTTTTTTGTTGCTTTAATTATTTAATTGACTTGCATATTTTATTACATTTGATGAGGTCAAATTAAACATACAGTACATGAGATTATTTAGGATAAAGACATAACAAGTGGTGGTTCCTCTAAGCACCGATTTTTCCATGTGCTCAAGAGGATGTTACCTATATGAAAAAGTGAAACATTAAATCCTAATATAACGACAAAAATAAATAAATAAAAGCCTCATAATAAAAGAAAACTAACCACGCCATCAAACTTGTAAAAGACAAAGCACAAATTAATGCAGATCTTTTAGTTTTTCTTAATTAATTTTAAATTCGATCGGTTCTTATCGTTTATTTTGTTTTAATCGAGTCATTATATTTTAATCTATTGGATATGTTAATCCCTAAATATTAAAATTATTAATAAATGATTAGCATTTCCAAACCAAAGTAAGCTTTGAAGTTTATAGAAAATTTGACATCAAACAATAAAAGTTGATCTAATTGATAAGGATTTGACCCATTATTCAATCTCGCCACCAATGGAAAATTCTTATTACTAGACAATCTATAAGTATGTACCTCTATTAGTGCTCTTTGAATTTAGAAGCATGCTTTGATCCTAGTGACTTGTTGAGCTCTTGGGACCTAATTTAACTAAATTTTTTACTATTAGGAAAATATTAAAATTTATGTTAAAACTTTGCTTACATTTTTATTTATTTATTAATGAAAATTCTAAATGTATAAAAATTATTTAAAAGGCACAATAATATAATTATATCAATGGGGTTGGGGTTAACAAAAAATACTAGTTCTTCATAATATAGTGAATCAATGTTAAAAATCCTATTAATAGATGTGCATGATCGTGCTTCAAATAGGATTGTCTTTTACAGGAGGAAACTTGTGCACTATAAAAAAAAGACATAATCTAATTATACAAATTTTAAGTTACAAAAATAATTTAATTATATAATCTTTTAATAAAAATATAAAAATTCTTAATTTCATTTTCTAAATGAGAAAATTCAAGAATTTTAATCTTTAAGGATGAATAAATTTAATGGATTAAACTAGAAAGGTTCAATCAAAATAAAATAAACTATAGATTCTAATTTAAAATTAAAAAAAAACTATAAAGACTTGTAGATTAATTTTTTGAAAAACAAATAAACATCGAAACAGAAATTTTTTTTTTTTTTGCCATTTTCGTTTACCAGCACGTCGAGGAGACACACACATTGGAAATGTTTATAGAGGGAATTGATCCTCTATAGGTATTGAAGTTGAGATGTATTTTTTGATTTCACATGGTGATGATCACTGCATGTAGGAATTGCTCGGTCAGTGTATTTATTACATGATAAATCTTAATTTTAGAGGCGTCAGATTCACAGGTCCAAAACCCAAGCCAGAGATTCAGAGAGGCATCATGAGCTGAATTGAATGAATGTCTTCCTTTTTGTGTATCATCATATGTGTATGCAGTTGTGGAGATGGCAGAGAGATTTGCATTTTGTGGATTGAGTGGGAACTTGGTGAGTTACCTGACAAATGTTTTGGGAGAGACAACACCGGAAGCTGCTAAAATTGTTGCCTGGGTTGATGTCTCCTTCGTCTTCCCTTTGATTGCAGCTTTCGTTGCTGGTTCATATCTTGGTCGTTTCAAGACTATCATCTTCTCTTCCATCATCTATTTCTTGGTATTTTACCTACTTTCCCAAATCATTTCTTGTTATTATTATTTAAAAAATATAATTTTTTCACTTGAATTTTCTTTTTGCAATTATATTGATTCAATAGTTGAATTTTGATTTAAAATAATTCAATTCGTATAGTTTCTTTACTCATATAACTCACTCTATGATTAAAATGATAATTAAAATATTTTTAATCATAATTTTTATATTTTAAGTTATTAATAGACCTTATGGTATGTTTAATTGTGTCATAGAGAACCTCAAAGTAATTCTCCTTTTCTTAAAAAAAATTCCCCTATAAGCAATACTTAATTGTAGTTATTGATCTTATGAGGTCCTTAATTGTCATTTTTCCTATTTCTTATATTATATATAAGAATAATATAACTTCTAATCTCTAAACTTTCTTTTCATTATCGATTTAGTTATTAAACTTTGCTCAGTACAACTCAATCGTTATAATTTATTGAGTTAATTAAGGAATTATAGAGACTTAGTTATACTAAATTTAAAAAAAAAACTTATTGAATTGAGTTAAAAAATTATAAGAACTGAGAGAACCTTAATTGTTTAGTTAATAAAGGATGCTCAAAAAAATTGTGACAAGTAGTTTTGGTAATATGCTTAGTAAGTGAGAAATGATAAAAACGACCAATTAGAAGACTCCTATATGATATAATCTCTTTTGATTTCTATGATCTGTTTTAAAAAAAAAGAAAAATATGCTCATTAAGTGAGAAATGAATACAAGCAATAATTTAAATTATGGCTTTATGCATGGAGTGATCTTGACTAAAGAAAATAATTATTAGATACAAATTTCTCCTTTAATTAATATATCTTGCAACAAAGAAGCGAATACGAATTAAATTTTGACAAAAAACAAGCATTGCTATAATACTAAAAAAAAGATTACAAGGAAAAACAAAAATAAAAACAGCCTAGTTACCCTTCATCACTCCAGAACCAATTTTTTTCCCTGAATAAGAAAGGATTTTAATACTAACTTCACTCATATCTCACTACGTACACTTATCACCTGATAACCTTCATGGCTTTGCAATACCAAATTTAACTACAATAGCTCAAACCATCTATTACATGTGAAATTCTCAAAAATAATTTCAAATTGACACTCTTATTTCCCCACAATCAAAAAACAAGTTTTTGGCACTTGATAGGTTTTGCTATTTTTTTTTTGGAAAATTACATATAAGTCAACACAACATAATTAAATACCACAAGATATCCATTGACAACTTAACATAATAAAGTGACAATTAAAATATTTTTAATGATAATTTTTTATGTTAAGTTATTGATGGACCTTGTGGTATATTTAATTGTGTTGTAGAGAACCTCAATGTAATTATCCTTTTTTTTCAAAAAAAAAAATCCCCTAAAAATGATAATTAAGAACATAAAAAATAAAAGAAACAACCAAAGTACATCTTCAACTAATTCTTCTACATTCTACAGTTGAGTGATGATTTGAGCCTCTGATAATCAGCAATTTTTTTGTGTGCAAATGAATGCTCTGGAAGATTAGGAAAGTTGAAATGAGTGAGGTAGGATCCATCTTTCCTTCTTGTATATTCTAAGTAGCCTAATGTAACCTACAGCTTAGAGGGGTTTTTATAGATTTGTATAATTAAAGTGGAAATGATGTGGATTTGGGATTGAGCCAAATGGAGTTGGCTGATATTGCCAAGTATTTAATTTGGCCTCTATTAAAAAGAATTCTCTTGCAGACCATATTACAAAAAGTCGAGAGATTGTGAGGCAAATGGAGTAGGCTGACATTGCCAAGTGTCTAATTTGGCCTTTATAAAAAAAAAATTAAGCTATTAGAAAGAAGGACATTAAAATCCTAAAACTGAAAATTTACGATAGTTAAATCCTTGATAAAAATTTTAAAAAAATAAATTATGAATATTGATTTACATAGTTGTAAACAGGAATCTGAACTACAAACTAATAGTTATACTTAAAATTAAAGTGTCTTATTTGTAGTTAAAACTTGTTAATTTATGACTATCTAAATCAAAATTTGCAATTGATTTTTTAAAAAATTTCATTAGAAACCTAACTGTCATAAATTTATTATTTTGAGACTTTAAAGTTATTCCCCCTTTTTATTTAGAACTCAATCAGTTTTTAATAATATAGGGAATAAAATTGTAGATGGATGAAAATAAAGCGATTGAGAACAACGAAAAAAAAATTACGGGATTAATATCAAAATAAATTAAATGGATAGGGATAAATGACTATATTTCCTCATTGCAAAAATATAGCTAATGACCTGCAAATTTTAAAAATATTATTTTGAATTGGTTATGATGAATTTTGAATTAGTTATTACATATAAGTCTAACATAATATAATTAAATACCACAAGATATCTGTTAATAACTTAACATAATAAAATGACAATTAAAATAAAAGAAATAACTAAAGCACATCTTCAACTAATTTTTCCATATTTTCAAGTAGAGTGATGATTTGAGCCTCTGATAATCAATATTTTTTTTTTGGGTGTGCAGATGAATGCTTTGAAAGATTAAGAAAGTTGAAATGAGTGAGGTAGGATCCATCTTTGCCAATTTGAACGTAGCTTGATTTTGTCACTCTATATAAGAGGAGAAAATAATTCATTAATTAACAAAATTATAATATAGGTAATTATAATGATGGAAAGTTGAAACACATGTTTAATCACATATTAATTCTATAAGCTAATTATTAATTATTTAAACAATGCAGGTAGGTATATATAACTCTATAACAATTTAAATGCAAGGAAAAAAAGTACCAAAATTTCAATTGCTGAAGACACTTTAGGAGCATATGCTATAATCTGGACACTGCCAGTCAATTGTTTGACCTGAGAGAAAAGTAAGAAAAATAAAAATATCATCAGTTAATAAATGCTATAAAAATATATATTTTTTATTAAAAAATGTAAAGTATTTTTAACCGAATTTTATCCTTCAATAAGGTAGTTACTTACTTTCAAACTAACCCTATCTTTTTATATTTACTCCTATTAAACACCCTATAATAAATATAAATTTATTATCAATAGGGGCACTTTTGAAAAAAGGCAATGATTACATATCAAAAGACTAAAAATGCCTTATATTTTTTAATATAAAACTCCTCAAAAAATATCTTATATTTTTGAATGGAGGGAGTATCATTGTCATCATAGATGGATATACTAAAATTTATAATAAATAAACTCAAACCCCAAGCAAGGGTAATCAAACCAGATTACAGTATCAATTATAATAAATAAAATGTCAAACATATATATTAGAGTAGGTAAAAACTATAAGATAGATGAAATAAAATTTTAACAAAATATTTTATTCATTAAAAGCTAATATAAACTAAAATATGTCACGTATAAGTATTCTTGATTGTAGATTATAAAATTAAAGACTACATAGATTTAAATTATTTTCAATGATCATGAACCATGTATATTATTTGAATTTTTAATAACTTCAAACATTGATTAAATAATGGTTGAACAATTGGACATTATATTTTTGGTGTCTATTTTAAAATTTGTATTATTAGTAATCGGTTTGTAATTAATAATAATGCCATATAGTAAGATGGTAAATAACACGAGAATTTGTCTTTAATTTTAAATTATTTGTATTTATTAAAAAAGAAGACATTGGTAATAAGTAGTTCTTCATCAATTTTGACATTATTCAAAACTTAAAAAAAATTCAAATTACGCGCATTGTGCGGATGATAAATAATTTCATAAATCAGCAACAATTTCAATTAGAACAATGAGGATGAATTATTTGACATTAGATATATAAATATAAACACAAGAAATTTTCTAAGAAATAAAAAAATACCAAATAAATCATGCATATTTTAATTTAGATTATAACAGAAAATTTAAATAAAGACAGTGACCAATAAATCTAATAAATAAATGTAACATTGACCAGTAAAGAATATATTACGTGAATAAAGTACAGCAAACCATATTCATAAGATCAATTGATTAGTACCTGGCTTAACGACTTCCCCTTGGTTTGATTTGATCGGGAGTTGCCTCCCATCCATATACATTAAGATTTGTAAGATGAAAACAATGTCTCCTACAATTGTGTCGGGCTGCAGCAGAAAAACATATGCAATTAAACTGACGTCTGAAAGTTCAGGCCATCTAAATCTAATTTACAAAATACATTGCCAAGTCCAAATAATTGCAAGTTTTTCTTACAGCTTCATCAGCTTGCTTTTCTTTTTTTTTTTTTTTCCTTTTTGTTGGGATTAATAAGATGAAACAAAGTACAAATTACACAGTACAGACACTAATGACAGGGAGATTCAAGGAGAGGCATTCCTCTCATCATTCACCACCTCAAAAACACAAGGGTGAGGCCGGTTGATCAAAATTATTAAAATAACCCCACCAATTAGCAGCATACTGAGCAAGAAAATGGGCACAGAAATGTGCCTCTAAACATAAGATTAATTGAAACATTACAATTCCTATAAAGAAGCCAGTGGGCTTGTTCGATAACGTCTTTAGAAGGATGTCGATCACTTTGTATTTTTTACAATTATTTTAAAATCACAAATACACCCTTTTATTTTAGAAAAATCATTAAAAAATAAATTTTCACCTTTTTGAAACATTAGGATATTAGAATGTCTCTTATTTTATGTAGAAGCTAATGATTAAAAAATAAAAAAATAAAATTGGGAAGTTGAGACCTTAGAAAAGGGCACATTAGAGAGGGCCCTGGTGCAGAGAGATCAAGTTATGCTTATTTTCTTCTGCAATTTTGTCAAATTTGAGGGACGGAGGGAGGGTGACCCTAGTTGAATAATGAACTTCGTCATTAACACCTAGCTGTAGTGTGAGCTTTGATTATGAAAAATTGTGAAGGTTGGAAAGAGGATTTTGAGAACCAGATCCTTGTGAGTCAAGTATTTGCTTCGGTGGGTATTTATTTCTTGCGGATTTGTCCATGGTGTTCGATGTTCGTCCTATCATTTTTGTAGAAATTTGTTTTTTGGTTATGAATGTGTTTTAATAAATAGAAAATGTTACATAGATGACCACCTAAGCATTATTCAATCCCACAAGGCCGGCCAAAAAAGCATAGGATGGTTAAAAAAAAAAAAAGAATGCCCATTAACAGTCAACATTGGAGAACTATCAATTTTAAGCGATATTGCACTGCTTTTAAAAATATAAAGAAAACATTGCACTTTTTAAATCTTAAAGATAATATTGCTCTAGACAAAAAAAAAAATTCAAGATGGGATTGCACTTTAACCCTTTTTGATTTAATACAATTTATTAATCTCTTTTACTTTTGTAAGATATAATTTAATCATACTCTTTTCTATTTTGGGATGAAGCTTTTCTATAATAAATTAAAAAAACAATTTTAACCTGTGGGGATATAAATCCAAAAAAAAATTAAAAATGTATAACTTTGGTCCTTTCTTAAAAAATAAATATCAAAGTTTTATTTGACAATTTAAATTCTTATATTTAATTTGTTGTCCAACTTATTAGTGTGATCAATGTAAAAAATGTGTGTGTGTAGAAATTTCTGCAGATCTACTATAGTTTCATCCACTCTCTGATCTCCAAGTAGGAGAACATTAATCCAAATCCAAAATTTTGTTCTCATTTATATAAATATCTAATTTGTAAAATCTAAATTATTCAACAAATTGTAAATTTTTTGGAAAAAATTCTAAATTTCAAAAAGAGAGTTACAAATTTATTATATTAAAGCTAAAATATATTTTTAGTCCTTTAATTTTATATAAGATTTTAATTTGGTCCTTTGATTTTGTAAAATATATTTTTAATCATTTAACCCTAACATCATTAATTTTAAATGATTATTTTTGTGTCAATCATTGTTATTTTAAAAAAATTAAACTTAATATACCAATATTTAAGAATATTTTTTTAATATTTGAAAGTTTAATATAAAAATTTATTGGAATAAAATTAACAGTGTTAGAATTAAAAAATTAAAAAAATACTTTATAAAGTTAAGGGGTTAAAAATAAAACTTGTGTAAAATTAAAAGATTAAATATATATATTTTAGCCTTATATTAATTAAAATTGTGGATTTTAACAGGATAGTTGTAAATGAAGATCCATTTATTAAAATTCATAACCTCACTTACAATTACCCTATTAAAATTCACGATTTCATCATAATGAAGTTACGATTACTTTTTCAAAAAAGGATTAATTATTTTCATAAAAAATTATCTTCAATTTTTCAAATCACTAGAAAGTTCCAAAATAATATATATGAATTTTAATAAGATAATTGTGAATGAATTTTACAGCTACCATATTAGAATTCAAAATTCATCATAACCGATTCAAAATAATATTTTTAAAATTCGCAAGTCATTAGCTATAATTTTGCATGAGAAAGTATAGCCGTTGATCCCTATCCATCTAATCTGTTTTGATATTAATCCCTGTAATTTTTTTCATTGTTCTCAATCGTTGTAGTTTCATTCATCTACAACATTATTTCCTATATTATTAAAAAAATGACTGAGTTCTAAATAAAAAGGGAGAATAACATTAAAGTCTCAAAATAATAAATTTATGACAGTGAGGTTTTTGACAAATTTTTTAAAAAAATGGGTTGCAAATTTTGATTCAGATAGTCATAAATTAACAAGTTTTAACTACACATAAGAAACTTAAATTTTAAGCATAACTCTTTGTTTGTAGTTGAGATGACTGTTTACAATTATTTAAATCAATATTCATAATTTATTTCTTAAAAATTTTTATTGAGGACTTAACTATCATAAATTTTCAGTTTAAGATTTCAATGTCATTCTTTCTAATAGCTTAATTTTTCTTTTGATAAAGGCTAAATTAGACACTTGGCAATGTCAGCCTGCTCCATTTGCCTCATAATAATCTCTCGACTTTTTGTAATATCGTCCGCAAGAGAATTCTTTTTAATAAAGGCCAAATTAAATACTTGGCAATATCAGCCAACTCCATTTGGCTCAATCCCAAACCCACATCATTTCCACTTTAATTATACAAATCTATAAAAACCCCTCTAAGCTGTAGGTTACATTAGGTCAATGCTCACATTATACATTTTACATTAGCTGGAAAGATGATCAAATAGCATTCTTCATATATATTAAAAATAGTAAAAAGTAATTGTTTATATAATTAATAATTAGCTTATAGAATTAACATGTGATTAAACATGTGTTTCAACTTTCCATCATTATAATTACCTATATTATAATTTTGTTAATTAACGAATTATTTTCTCCTCTTATATAGGGTGACAAAATAAGGCTACGTTCAAATTAGGAAAGATGGATCCTGCCTCACTCATTTCAACTTTCCTAATCTTTCAAAGCATTCATTTGCACACAAAAAAAAAAATTGCTGATTACAGAGGCTCAAATCATCACTCTACTTTAGAATATGGAAGAATTAGTTGAAGATGGACTTTAGTTGTTTCTTTTATTTTTTATGTTCTTAATTATCATTTTTAGTT